CTTATGTTCGGATCTGAAGATGGCTTGCTAAATCCCTAAACCCTACACCCTAAACCCTAAACCCTAAACCCTAAACTCTAAACCCTAAACCCTAAACCCTAAACCCTTAACGCGGTTTATGTGCAAACTGATCAAAGCACATGACTTTCTAGGCTCGTAGAGCTTTTGTTGAACTCCCAAGCCTTGCGATACAAAAACAACGTTGTTCGTCAGGGGTCCGAAGTACGTAGTCTGTCACTGTCGGCGGATAATGCCTTATGTCCTTCATCAGGCTGGATGAGGGATCGATCCCTCTACACCCTAAACCCTAAACCTTAAGCCCTAAACCCTAAACCCTAAACCCCTAAACCCTTAAACCCTTAAACCCTAAACCCCAAACCCTAAACCCTAAACCTCAAACCCTACACCCTACACCCTAAACCCCCAAACCCTAAACCGCATCAAATGTTCAAGGCAAGAAGTACAACGTCCAGCCGGAGCCAGAGATCAAGCCAGCGGACGCGGGAGCGGCTGCACCTTCTGCCGCGCTGTCAACTGGAGGCGACATGGGTATGTCCGCAGGAGGCTGAGGTGGGTTTAGGGTTTGGGGTTTGGGGTTTAGGGTTTTGGGTTTTGGGGGTTGCTGATTTGGGATATCGGAAACCCTTAATCTACCCCAAGATAGTATAATCCTTATTATGGGAACCCCCCCCCCCGTAAGAGGGTACCCCCTTTTTTTGGAAACCCCCACATGGGCATCTTTGTGCGATTTGCCTACTTTGGCTCTTAGTAGTACATGAGGGAGTTGGGGACCTTGTATCCCCCCGAGTTTCCCCTTTCAGGGACTTGATAGGGAGTGTTTTTGTACATATGCAGGGTTTTTCAGGGTGCCGAATTCGGTATTGCGATGGTAGAGGAGGCTGCACCATTCCCAAGATCATCCCGTTGAGGCCATTGTGGTAGGGTTTAGGGTACAGGGTATCGGTTTAGTAGTATAAAACTGCCGCCCTTTGTAGGGAAACAGGCCCCTACATTAGTCTGGTTCAGAGTTTGAGGATGTTACGGGTTTAGGCGACTACAGGTGTAGATGGCAGAGCTGCTAACCCTAAGCCCTATAAGCCCTAAGAGCCCTATAAGCCCGAAAAGCCCTATGAGCCCTATAAGCCCTGAAGCCTAAACCCTAAACCCTAAATAAACCCTAAACCCTAAACCCTAAACCCTAAACCCTAAACCCTAAACCCTAAACCCTAAAAACCCTAAACCCTAAACCCTAAACCCTAAACCCTAAACCCTAAACCCTAAACCCTAAACCCTAAACCCTAAACCCTAAACCCTAAACCCTAAACCCTAAACCCTAAACCCTAAACCCTAAACCCTAAACCCTGAACCCTGAACCCTGAACCCTAAACCCTAAACCCTAAACCCTAAACCCTAAACCCTAAACCCTAAACCCTTAACCCTAAACCCTAAACCCTAAACCCTAAACCCTAAACCCCGAAGTGAAGTGTGGCTCGCATCTTGGCATCGACTGTCTGCAGTTTGGCTTCGCCGTACGTAAACTTCGTTACATACAGTTATTCCCCCTTTGTCGGGGTTTAGGGTTTAGGGTTTAGGGTTTAGGGTTTAGGGTTTAGGGTTTAGGGTTTAGGGTTTAGGGTTTAGGGTTTAGGGTTTAGGGCTAGGACCGGGAGTAGGCCATTTTTTCTTTTTTCTTTTTAGTTTTGTGTGGTAAATGGTAGGGAAATGAGGGGATCATGTCGAAGTAGGGTTTCTATTTCTTGTATCCCCAACTTGGGATGTTCCCCCTTACAGCAACAGTCCAAAACCCTAAACCCTGAACCCTAAACCCTAAACCCTAATTATAGGACCGGGAGTAGGCCCTTTTTTCATTTCTTTTGGGTTGGGGTTCCCTCATAATCCCCTTAAAACCAAGAAGGCTACCCTTTTATTTATTCCCTGGTTACTCCCGGGTCTAGTAAATGGTAGGGAAGGAGGGGATCATGTACCCTCTAGCACCCCTTGAAGGGTTTAGGGTTTAGGGTTTAGGGTTTAGGGTTCAGGGTTTAGGGTTGAGGGTTTAGGGTTGCGGGTTGAGGGTTGAGGCTTGAGGGTTTAGGGCAGATTGGGTAGGTGTTATGGCTTCGCACCCTAAGACTCCTAAGACCCTAAACAAACCCCAGAAGCCATATCCCATAAACCCTCTTTCCCCTAAACCCTAAACTCCAGAAACCCTAAACCCCAAATAGCCCTGAACCCCAAAACCCTCGACTAAACTCTCTAAGCCCTAAGCCCTAAGCTCTACAATCACTGACCCAAAGAGCCCTAAGCACGAAACCCGCCCTAGAACCAAACCGTAAACCGTAAACCCTAAGCCCTAAACCCTAAACCCTAAACCCTAAACCCTAAACCCTAAACCCTAAACCCTAAGCGCCCTTCCCGCAGGGCTCTTTGGGTCAACGACACCTGCGTCCTCCTCGTCGCTCTTTGGTGCCTCCAGCGGTGCAGGCCGATAACCAGCAAAGGAACCCCAAACCCTAAACCCTAAACCCTAAACCCTAAACCCTAAACCCTAAACCCTAAACCCTAAACCCTAAACCCTAAACCCTAAACCCTAAACCCTAAACCCTAAACCCTAAACCCTAAACCCTAAACCCTCACTTTGGCCCTTTGAAAGGCCTCTTTGGCAGCTTCGGGGCGAGTAGTAGCAGCTCGCCTTCCTCTGGTGGCCTTTTCGGCGCCACAGCAGGAGGAATTCTGGGCTTCTGGAGTTTTAGGGGTTTAGGGTTTAGGGATAGGGTTTAGGAATTAGGGTTCAGGGTTTAGGGTTTAGGGTTCAGGGTTTAGGGTTTAGGGTTAGGGGTTTTAGGGTTTTGGGGGTTAAAGGGGTGTGGAGCTTTACAGGCTTTTGGCCCTTAAGGCACGCAAAGTCGGAAAGGTTTGCGGATTTCAGGAATCATTGTTTTTTGTGGTTTGAAGGGGATTTGGGGCTTTGGGGGTTTTAGGGTGGGGGGTTTCTAGAGTTTAATTAGGGGGGATTAGGGTTTTTTGGATTCGAGCTTTGTTTTCAGCTCTTGGTGTATTGGAGGTTTGAAGGTGCAGGGTTTTGGTGGACCGGGGTTTCGTTTCGGAGCTTTTACGGCTTCAAGGTTTTTGTGTTGGATTCGGGGCTTTAGGGTGTTTATGCTGTGTAACCCTTCCTTTACCCCCGAAATACTCTCATGATAGTGCGGTTTAAAGGCCAGTGTAGAGGGTCTAGAAATTTTGGAGTTAGGCTTTAGAGATGTATGGGTTATAGAGCTTGTAGGGTTTTGAGCTGAAGCTGAGGTGATGGTGCTGCCCAAACCCAAAACACCCCAAACTCTACACCCGACTCGCCTTCGGTTTCATGAAGGCCTCGAGACAGGGAAAGTCCACGGCGTGGCCCTTACCATAGGCCGCCAACAAAGCGAGCATCACGAGCATCAGCCGGACTGGCCCTTACCATAACCCGCCAGCAAAGCGCGCATCACGAGCATCAGCCGGACGGGCCCTTACCATAGCCCGCCAGCAAAGCGAGCATCACGAGCATCAGCCGGCGTGGCCCTTCCCATAGCCCGCCAGCAAAGCGCGCATCACGAGCATCAGCCGGACTGGCCCTTGCCATAGCCCGCCAGAAAAACGAGCATCACGAGCATCAGCCGGACTGGCCCTTACCATAGCCCGCCAGCAAAGCGCGCATCACGTGCATCAGCCGGACTGGCCCTTACCATAGCCCGCCAGCAAAGCGCCCTAAGCCGCCAAGCATCACTAGCATCAGTTGGCGTGGCCCTTACCATAGGCCGCCAGCAAATCGTGCATCACGAGCATCAGCCGGACTGGCCCTTACCATAGGCCAACAGAAAAGCGAGCATGACGAGCATCAGCCGGACTGGCCCTTGCCACAAGCCGCCAGCAAAGTGAGCATGACAAGCATCAGACCCTTACCGTAGGCAGTGGGTAACCCTTACAGCCCTTCAACGCTTCAAATCCCCCAAGCCCTGAACCGTAAACCCCTGACGCCTAGCCCCTAACCCCTAACCCCTAAACCCTAAACCCTAAACCCTAAACCCTAAAGCCTAAACCCTAAACCCTAAACCCTTTGGGCATCAGCACTGAAGGGTCGCAAGCAGGAGTCGGAGCTCCGCAGCCGTCCACCGCGCCGACAGATGTGAAGCAGGCAGTTTGAGCGCTTTAGGGGGGGGGGCTTTCAAGGCTCAGTTGGGGTTTAGGGTTTAGGGTTTAGGGTTTGGGGTTTAGGGTTAAGGGTTTAGTGCTTTAGGTTGGGATGTTCCCCCTTATACTAACAATCCTCAATATGGATTATAATCTCCGGGGGTTCTCTATCCCTACTAAGGACAGTTAGTATGAGGAGGAGCATCCCAAGTTTTAGGGTTCAGTGTTTAGGGGTGTTCAGGGTATAGGGTCTAGGGCTTGCAAGGCTCAGTTGGGGGCATGGGTTGACGGCGTTTAGGGTTCCTAAACCTTAAGTTGGGCGATCTCATTGTCTAGGTTCAGATTGGGAGTTTGGGACCGCATGGCTTGTACTGGATTGGTAGCCCAGTGGTACCCTTGTCCTTATTTTGTGGTTCAAGGTTCCCTCACAAGTAACCAACCCCACAAAAGGTAATTACCCTTTTGGTAATGTGGTTGCTGGGCCACCAAGCAACCCTCAACCCCTAAACCTTAAACCCTAAACCCCTAAACCTCAAACCCTAAACCCCTAAACCTCAAACCCTAAATCCCTAAACCCCTCAACCCTCAAACCGGACATCAAAGAGACTTCCACCCAAGACCCTCCCCCCCCCCACCCCCCCGCGCTGTGGGGCTTCCCATGAACCCTTTCGGGTTTAAGGATCAAGGTTTGGGGTTTGGGGTTTAGGGTTTTGGGTTTGGGGTTTAGGGTTTAGGGTTCTTTCTTGTATTCATAGAACAAAAACAGGGTCCCTTTTATCGCCAGTTGCTAGTGAGCCTTGCTACCCAAAGAAGAGGCATACAAGGAGCGGATGGTCAAGATCTATCAGCAGCACAACCCGAGCAAGCTGTCCCTCGCCAGCAAGCCTTAAAGCGGCTGCCCTCACACCCGACTGACACCTAAAACCCCTATACCCTCAAGACCTACATGCCCCCAAAGCCCTAAGCCCTAATTCCCTAGACCCTCAAGACCAAAGCTTGGACCCTAAAGTTGAAAGCCCTAAAGCCCGAACGCCCTGACCTCTCAAGCCAAGCCACCAGTCCTGAATGCCCTAAGGTTTAGGGTTTAGGGTTTAGGGTTTAGGGTTTAGGGTTTAGGGTTTAGGGTTTTGGTTCAGGGTTTAGGGTTTAGCTTCTTGGGAATCACGCTCCGCATTTTTTTGGCGTAGAGAGAACCAAGCCGACAAGAAGAAAGGAGAGGAGAGTAAAGCTAAAACTCGAGGACCCCCGGCCTCAAGACTGTCACCCTCTGGTTGATGGGAAGATTGCGATTTAGGGTTTAGGGCTTCGGGTTCAGGGTTCAGGGTTTTGAGTTTAGAACTCAGGGCTGAGGGTGTCTGGCTGTTTAAGGTATAGGGTCGGGGTGTCACGGGGATCGCTTTGGGTTCAGAGTTCAAGGTGGGTGAGAAAGCTTAGGGTTTAGGGCTTGGGTGCTTAGGGTAGGCGCTCAGGGGCTCAGGGGCTCAGGGGCTCAGGGGCTCAGGGGCTCAGGGGCTTAGGGGCTCAGGGGCTTAGGGGCTTCGGGGCTTCGGGGCTTCGGGGCTTAGGGGCTCTTGGGGGCTTCGGGGCTTAGGGGCTTAGGGGCTTAGGGGCTTACGGAAACAAAGTGCATTTGAGGGTCTCACACGTCCTGAAGCTCACGCTGAGGAATGAGATCGACACCCTCATGGCCAAGTATGCGGGCAACGAGCACGTGATGTACTTGAAGATCTGTAACAAGTGCCCCCCCTCTAAACCCTAACCCCTAAACCCTAAACCCTAAGCCCTCAACCCTAAACCCTAAACCCCAAAACCTAAACCCTAAACCCTAAACCCTAAACCCTAAACCCTAAACCCTAAACCCTAAACCCTAAACCCTAAACCCTAAACCCTAAACCCTAAACCCTAAACCCTAAACCCTAAACCCTAAAACCCTAAACCCTAAACCCTAAACCCTAAACCCTAAACCCTAAAAACCCCTAAACCCCAAAACCCTAAACCCTAACCCTAAACCCTAACATTTCAACCCCTAAGCCATGAACACGCTCTAAACTGCCAAGGAACGCGTAGCCTAAGGGTCCATGTACCTAGATGGGGGTTTCCGAAATTGGGGGGGGGGGGGGGGAGTTTACCTTTTTCTAAGGGAATCCTACTATTTGGGTCTATTTTAGAGGTCCCCACTTTTCGTAAACCCCATTTTCTTCTGCCCCAAAGTACCCTTTTTCTTGAGTACATGTCGGCCCGAGTAGAACCTATTTGGGCACATGGACCCTTAGGGTTAGCTTATCAGCTCCTGTAGATTCCGGCGAGGTTTTTTGGAGTGTGTGGCTTCTGGCAGGGTTCATGTTCATAGGGTTTAGGGTTTGGGGTTTAGGGCTTGTGGATTT